TGGACAGCCAGGGCCGGTCACGTGACTCGGATATGCCAGCCACTCTGCAGAACACCACCAACTTCATCCTCCTGGGCCTCATCACACACCCCAGGCTCCCAGGGCTGGTCTTCGCTGTGGTCTTCTCTATCTTCGTGGTGGCTGTGGTGGCCAACGTGGTCATGATCCTCCTCATCCACGTGGACGCACGCCTGCACTCGCCCATGTACTTCCTGCTCAGCCAGCTCTCCCTCATGGACACCGTCTACATCTGCATCACCGTCCCCAAGATGCTCCAGGACCTGCTGTCCAGGGAGAAGACCATCTCCTTCCTGGGCTGCGCGCTGCAGATCTTCCTGTACCTGACCCTGATTGGAGGGGAGTTCTTCCTGCTGGGCCTCATGGCCTACGACCGCTACGTGGCCGTGTGCAACCCGCTGCGGTACCCGGCGCTCATGAGCCACAGGGTTTGCCTGTTCATGGTGCTGGGCTCCTGGGTCGGGGGCTCCTTGGACGGATTCATGCTGACCCCTGTCACCATGAGCTTCCCCTACTGCGGGTCCCGAGAGATCAATCACTTCTTCTGTGAGATCCCGGCCGTGCTGAAGCTGGCGTGCGTGGACACGTCGCTGTACGAGACCCTGATGTACGCCTGCTGCGTGCTCATGCTGCTCCTCCCCATAGCCGTCATCTCCGCCTCCTACGCGCGCATCCTCCTCACCGTCCACCGCATGAACTCCGCCCAGGCCCGCCGCAAAGCCTTCGCCACCTGCTCCTCCCACATCATGGTGGTCAGCCTCTTCTACGGTGCCGCCTTCTACACCAACGTGCTGCCCCACTCCTACCACACGCCCGAGAAAGACAAGGTGGTGTCCGCCTTCTACACCATCCTCACCCCCATGCTCAACCCTCTCATCTACAGCCTCAGGAACAAGGACGTGGCTGCAGCTCTGAGGAGGGCGCTGGGCAGGTGTCCCTCCTCCAAGAGAGTCAGAGCCGTTGCTGTGTCCGGGAAATACTAGGGACCTGGGACGTGTCCTGGAAATACGAGGGACCTGGGGGCGTGTCCGGGAAATGCTGGGGACCTGCGGCGTGTGCTGGAAATCGAAGGGGAGTGAGCAGACAGCCCTGGTACCACAGCCAGCGATATATGGTCTTCCCTGGTAATACTGCCTTGGTGCTGAAAAATGTTCAGTGTCATTTCAACAGTCCAGAGTTATCAGCAAGCTTATCCTGTTCAAGCATCAGCCCGTAACTGCCCCGGAAGTGGCATCTTGTCAACCTGCTGGTCTGGATTCACCGGCATTCTCCAGAGCATCCGCAGCCCAGCAGCTCTGCACGTGGTCCCAGGCAGGTCACACACGTCTTCCACACACCCCGAGAAGATGCCCTCCCGTCTTGTGCCCCAGCGCTGTCCGTGTCTGCACAGCTGGCCAGCTTCTGAGTGGGAATTGTGAGGCGCATTGGCCATGTATGTCCTCGGTAATTGGGCTGATTTAATGTGATCGAACATCTCTATCGCTGACACTGGAGCCACATTCACGTGTGACACCCTCGTGGGGATACTGCGTTGGCATGTGGCTCTACGCTCTCAGCCACATCTTATGAAAGTCTCCTCCTCTTACCTCTGAAATTACAGGTGTTTCCCGTGCCTTTATTCACACGCCTGGAAATTAACAAGCATGTATTGGTTAGCTGATCAATTGAAAATTGACTCTGCCATTAAGACTGTGACACTGGACCAGCCACACTGACAGGAGTCGGGTGGCTCAGAGCAATGCGGGGACCATGTGGAAGGTCCAGGGTCACCCCTAGGGGTTACCCCAGCACACCAGTAACCAGCAAGCCTGGCTGGCTGCAGGGCCGGGGGGATTGCAGGGAAGGCCCTATTGGAGGTGCCCTTCCCATGAAGCAAATACACAAGTAAACATTTTTTAAAAGATCATAGCATTGCTATAAACCTAAAAATGCTCCTGTGTAGGCTTTAGGGAAGTGGTAGATAAATGCAGAATGAGTAAAGCGAGACATTTCATTTACTAATTTAGCTCCCCTGGGTTAAGTTGCTCACCTTCCTCACACTCAGGTTCACCACCGATGTGTCATAAAGGATTTTTTAAATTTTGGTATTGTTTCGATCTGTGTCGAGTTCTGATAAAATATTAACTCTGTAAATACCACACTGAGCCTTCCACCTCCTCTTATTTCTCTATAAATTCCTCCTGGTGTAGGGTCTAAAATATAAGAAATAAAAATAGTAGTATGGATTGGTGTTTTCACTGAAGGGTTTAGAGAACGTGTGACAATTTCTGAACAGTTACGTGGCAAAGACTGAGAGGTGGTCCGTCTAGTGTCAGTGAAGACAGAGGGAAATGCCTCTTCTCGGTGCTGACGTAGGGGACATGCCTTCAGATGGCATAATGCTTATGTCACTGGACTTCCACAGGGCCAACTGTGGTCAGAGCCCAGGATCTGGCAGCTTCAAACTCATGTGGGACACATGTGTGTGTGCCCAAAATCCTGAGAAGAGAATGGAGGAGAAGGGAGGAGAAAGGATTGTGGTGTGGCCATCTCTCTTGGGGGGTGATTTCCCACTTTCTGTCTCTCTCTGTCTTGCCGGTGAGCACATGTGCCCTATAGAGGATTTCTCATTGGAAAAGTGCTTGCACATCAATGTTTATTGCGGCACTTTTCACGATTGCTAAGACATGGAACCAACCCAAATGCCCCCGTACGGATGAACAGATTGAAAAACTGCGGCACATATACTCTATGGAATACTATTCAGCCATTAAGAACAACAAAACCCTGGCTTTTGACAGAAAGTGGAAGAATATGGAAGATTTACTGCTGAGTGAAGCAAGAGTGGGGCCTGGGGAAGAACATTTGGAGGAGGGATACGAAGACAGCATTGGTGAGACAGGGAGGTAGTGTTGTTATATTTTGATCAACTCGACTGGGGAGAAATGTTCATATATTGAAATGATCACCTTGTAAGCTAAATAATGTGACTGAATGTATTTAAAAATGTAAATTTAATAATAATAAAAAAAATTTTTAAAGATCTCCCTTAAAGAAGAGACAGAGAAGGAGAGAGATGCGGTTGTTACTGGCCGGGCTGTGCTGGGCGAGCAGGTCTGCAATATTGCTGAGGGTCTAATTAATGAGTGCAGGGCTGACTACAGAGACACACTCCCTTAGCAATGCTCGACCCGTCCTGCTCCTCTGAGGTGAGCACTGTCCCATAGTAAGTGCCACGGCAATGCAATCTAAAACTTACATCCCAGAATATGTGCAGTGTGCTCCCACGGAACTGCTCCCACCCTAAAAAGGAGTGATCCCAACCTTTTTCCAGTTAGCTCACCAAATTTTTATAGGATAATTTGTGACCACCAAGTTTTCTTCTTTATTAAAATAATACATTAACTTATAAATAGAAAATATAAATGATAACAAATTAAATTCATTTTTAAAGATAATTATTTATTTTAGTTTTATTTATTCATTCCCTTATTTTTTAATTTGACCAGAGAGAGACACAGAGAGAAAAAGAGAGTGGGAGAGAGAAAGTGAAAAAGCAAGCCACCAGGTCCAGGACTCAAACCGTGGTCAGCCATGTAGGAGTGTCCAGCACCTTAACCACCATGCCACCTGCTGGTCCCTAAATTTAGTTTCAATATAATCAACAGTATCTTCACATAACATGTGCTGTTCTATGTGATGGAGAAAAAAATAAAATAAAAACTGTACCCACTTTCCAAATTACACTATCTGGTTTTGATTCTGATCCTCACAAAATCTCATGAAGTATTTAGAGGAAGAATTAGCCTTCTGGGAGACAGAGAGGCTGCTGTCTAGAGCAAATTATTACTTCACTCAAGCAGGAGGCAGATGGGCCTCGGAACTGTCTTCTGATTCTGGCTGGCATTCTGGTGCCAGAAGATGGGGCTAATGACAGACATTCCCAGAGAGGAGCCCCTGGCACACATGCGGCTGCCAGCTTGTTAAGGTTAATGACTTGGGGACAAAATCCCTCCAGAATAATGTGCTCATAAAACCCAGTCCATTCCTTGTTGGCTGCCAGCGAGGCTGGTATCCGAGGGCTGGTGACCCACTTGGAGAGGGAAGGCCCCTGGTGTCTTCTTCAGGTAAGGAGCGTGGACGTAAAACAAACTGACCTTCAGCTTCTCCACATGTGTTTTATTGATACAATACAAAAATATAATAGTGGAAACATAAAGTCTGCTCTATAAATGCTTTAATAAACTGTCCAAAAAATTTCAGACAAGAGAGTATAAACCAAGAAATGGAAAATACCTAGACAATTACTTACCGGGAAGAAGAGAATGCAGACCCCTATCGACAAGAGAGGGACAGTACCAGCCTGCCCTGCCGGACACTGACCAAAGGAAGAGAAATCTGCTAAGAGGCTCGACATCTACTTAAAGAAAAAAAAACTTAAACATCAGCTCTTGACTCGAAAAGAAGTTATATACAGGACAATAGTAATAGCTAATTTCAGGCACTGATGGGTTATTTAACTAAAACAATAGGCTGAAAGATATTACGGAGAAAAATAGAGAGGCAGGACATTTATGGGACAGAGAAATGTATTACTGTCTGTCGATGATAACGTGTCCAGTATCCTTAACTGCACTGGTGGGAAATGTGCTCATGTCGGGAGAATTCATCTTACAAGCTAAGTGATGTATAATGATGAATATATAAAAGAATTTTTTAATTAAAAAAATAACAGGTTGATTTATACATAAATAATAAGCTAAAACCAGATGCGTATCTTTTTTTCCACTTAAGTTGTGTTGAGGGTAGATTTTCTCAAATCTCAGTGACAACCTGGTCATACTTCACATTTACCAAAAATTCTAGTATTGTACTTTCTTCAACACCCAGAGACCCAAAGGTTAAGAAAATACTTATGGGTTTGTTCTGGGCATATTTCTTTGGTTTGTACAACCAGCAAGGGATGTAAAGGTGATCAATAAATACCTGTGGAGTCAGTTACAATTATTCTACATTACTTTATTTATCTTTTGCTACCCCTTTAAAGGGATAAAACTTATGGCAATCTGATCGTATTAGATTTTACTCATGACCTATGCAAAAACAGGGATCTTCATGATCCCAAAAATGTGTTCTCCAAAGTTATCAGTGCAATAAATGAGTAGAAATAATTCATTTTATCAGGTTTAGTGCTGTAAAATACAAATTTTCATTTTTTTCCTTTTTATTTTTCTTTTCCCTGATCCTAGGAAGAGTTGCAGTGGAAACCAGATGACCACCAAAAGTCCACAGAGAATTGCAGGAAGCAAAAGAAGTTCACTAAAATTCTGAGTTCGCTGGTTTTTAAGTGACTTCTATTAAGCATTTTGAACTTAAGAGTCTGTTAAAAAGAAAATCATCTGTTTTTGCAAGATTATTTACAGATATTCTTCCTCCTTTGGAGTGAGCAAACAGTAGGTAAGTCCCCTAGGGAGGCATTTGCTCAAGTGTGGAAAGAAAGCTACCTTCCTCCATTGAGACAGAAAATTCAGATGTGAGAGCAAGCCTGAGGGCTACACGTGTTCATCACATCATCTAAGTCATTCTTTCCTAAATTTCCAGCTCGTTTAACAGCAATGAGCCGTGCTATTAATAAGGTATTCTATACCCTTGGAAAGGCAGAATCAGGAAATGTGTTTGAGCGTAGCTAAGATTGTCTTCTGGCTTCGGCTCCTCAACAGCTGTTGAAGGTTCAGTAGAGATGGCTGCTTCTCTGCCTCCCCAGATAAACTGTGCACAAGTGTCTCCAAAAGGAGAGAGGGCAACAAGATTTTGACCCAAGACAGGGCTCTTTGCAAATAATGGTTCCTTCTAATCAGAAATCTTGCAAAAAAAATTTACGTTTTAGCATTTTAGTAACAAAATTACAATACCCTGTGAGCATATTAAGAGGCTTCAGCCTCTTTCTTAGAAGCAAAGTGTACACACAGTATTTTAAGACTTGTGATACTGACTTTGGCTCTCAAGGAAAAAATACTACCTCTTCCATCCTGGCGGGCAGAGGGAGAGCCCTCCTTTAGTCTCAGTGTTGATACAAGCGATCTGTCAGCAGAGGTTCAGTGGAGTAAGACCGGCTGAGCCCCGTGTGCACACCACGGCCTCTGCACACTGCATGTTGGCCCCCAAAGCAGAAGAGAGCAAGAGCTGCGCCCGGCCTGCTCAGACAGGGCGCCGCTCAGCCTGGGGGCCCGCCCTGAGGCCAGACCACAGCTCACCGGCAGAGAGGAGAATGTCCCACATGTTTCCTTTAATAACTGAGAACTGGGCAGCTTAGGCGTGCTCAGCCACATCCCAAATGCCGGCACCTGTGGAGAGGCTGAGCCCAGGCAGCCGCCAGGGCAAGGCGAAGGCGGGCCCAGTAGCAATGCCTAGTCCGCGCGGCCTTCCTGCCAAGGCCGATCAAACAGTTCCCTCTCCCCGGGAAAGAGAGTCGATTGGGCAATGATGTTGAAAGCAATTATGGTCATTTAACTTGTGGTTTTAATTTTAGAAATCACTGACAAGATTGTTCTAGTAACGTTTCAATTTATTCCACAGGATTTAAATTGGTCTCATATTTCTGTGCAATTTTTTAAAAAGTCTCTGTTTTTTATTTTTACTCACACAGTTGTAAGTAACGTTCTTGTCCCCATGAGGTTATTTGCTCCTGAGTACGGTTTTAATTTAAATGTGTGGCTTACATATATCGTGCACTCTTTGTGGGGTGGGTTCACTGTCAACATTTCACATTGCACCATGCTGTATCACTTCACATTTGGCTCTCATTCACTAATGCTGTTTCCCCCTTTGGGGGCGTGCACTCTGACTTGTCGGCAGGTTTACTCCGCCGTGGCATGCCGTTCCATGGCCTGCTCCACTGGCACATGCGTGGCTGTGTCTGCCAAGCACTTGCTTCCACACCCCTGCTCACTCCCCCATGCAGCTTCTAGGGTCTCCATACCAGGCATGGCCTTTTCTCTTTTCTGTGTTTCACACTGAAATAACTAATCTGTCTGGCAGGGGCTGGAGATGAAAACCCCTCCCTTTCTGTCCATTCCTGTGCGTCGGCTCCGTAACTCCCCAGGGCTGAGTTTAGCTCTGGCTGCAGTGCCGGTAAACGTGGCCACATGTCACACTTGCTGAGCTCATTTTCTGTGTATCTCTTGTAACAACTCCAGGCTGCCGACGTCAATTTTTAACCTCCCACTCCCGACTGCAATAGGATGGGGAACAGCAGGGGTATCAGCAGGTGACAGGCAGAGCTGCTTTTAGGAATCCCGCTGTGAGCTGAGGGTCAGTTAGAGATGAAGAGACTGAAGGAAGGTCTGCGAGGAGGGCACAGAGCCGGGCAGCAGGTGGTGGACTGGCTATAAGGGAGAACCTCACAGTCGTGAGGCCCTGGCGCAGGTCCTAACTCTTCTCCTCACTCACCAGGAGCGATCGCCAGTCCGTGGCCAGTCGTCCTCGGCTCCAGCGCGCTTTCGTAGACCTCCTACAGGTTAGGCGACTTTCTGGATGTGGGAAATGCAGAATGAACAGCACAGGCGTGGCTAGAGCCACTCCCCGTAAAGCAAACACCCCCTTTCTTACACAACTGCCAGGGCCTGTTGCAGTGTACAGACAGACGGTAAAAAGGGCTGTTCCCCGCCAGGAGAAGTGGAGCCCCGAGTGCTGCTCTACGCTGTGTGTGTTGGCCTGCTTGTTCTCCCCAGTGTCTACCCCGAAGGCTACACAGTGACCAGAACCCGTGGAGCTGTCCACACGGAGTCCATCCTGCTCTCCTTCCTGGCCTTGCTGTCCCGCCCCGGCCCGGAGCTGTTACAGACAACACCAATGAAGAACGGAACTTCACCTTCCGACTTTATCCTGCTGGGGCTTCTGGTGGACAGTCGAGTGACAGGGATTGTATTTACCGTTATCTTTGCCATTTTTGTGGTGGCTGTCACTGCAAATCTGGTCATGATATTCTTGATTCAAGTGGACTCCCGCCTCCACACCCCCATGTACTTCCTGCTCAGCCAGCTCTCCATCATGGACACCCTGTTCATCTGTACCACTGTCCCAAAGCTCCTGGTGGACATGGTTTCTAAAGAGAAAACCATCTCCTTTGTGGCCTGTGGTATCCAGATCTTCCTGTACCTGACCATGATTGGCTCCGAGTTCTTCCTCCTGGGACTCATGGCCTACGACCGCTACGTGGCCGTCTGCAACCCGCTCAGGTACCCGGTCCTGATGAACCGCAGGGTGTGTCTCCTGCTGGCTGCGGGTGCCTGGTTTGGTGGCTCCCTCGATGGCTTCCTGCTCACGCCCATCACCATGAATGTCCCCTACTGTGGATCCCGTAGCATCAACCACTTTTTCTGTGAGATCCCTGCGGTTCTCAAGCTGGCCTGTGCGGACACGTCCTTGTACGAGACCCTGATGTACATCTGCTGCGTGCTCATGCTGCTCATCCCCATCTCCATCATCTCCACCTCCTACTCCCTCATCCTGCTCACCGTCCACCGCATGCGCTCTGCGGAAGGCCGCAAGAAGGCCTTCACCACGTGCTCGTCCCACTTGACTGTCGTCAGCATTTTCTACGGAGCTGCCTTCTACACGTACGTGCTGCCCCGGTCATTCCACACCCCCGAGCAGGACAAGGTGGTGTCCGCCTTCTACACCATCGTCACCCCCATGCTCAACCCTCTCATCTACAGCCTCAGGAACAAGGACGTCACGGGGGCATTTAAAAAGATATTTGTACGTTGCTCCGCTGCTCAGAAGGTAGCAACAGCCGGTGCCTAGGGATGTGGCAACGTGAGCACAGGTCTTCCTAAGCCTTCCTCCACGGGTTGCATTTCGTCAGAGACTAACCCCAACCCAGTGAGAGGTCAGGGGTTCTTGTCCTGTCAGGGTTCTTGCTCCTAAGAGGAGAAAGGGAAGATGGGGAAGATGTTTCACTGTGTACATGGAGGACTTTTGGAGAGGTATCAAAAATAATTTATTAGCAAATTAAAGAACTCATGTGGTCTTGGTTCTTGTCTCGAATAAGAAGCAATTAACAGAGTTCGCAGCAGTTGGGTCTCCATAACTTACTCATGGTTAAGTAGAATAAGCCCACAGCTACCAACATTTTAGTGGTAAAATCCTGTGATTATTTTTATAGTCAATACAAAAGTCAAAGAAATTACATGATTTAGTTATTTTTTTCATTATGGGAGTCACACCAAGGGGCTGTGAACTCTGATCGTCCCTGAACCTGCTGCGTTGAGAGCAGCTGGCAAACCCTGTGCCGAGTGAATGTGCAGATGTCCGTCACTCACACGCACCCAAGCGGGATGGGCTAATAATATTTTTTTTTTAAGAGAAGTTTTTACTGTAGGGCGTGTGTGCCCACTGGAAAGACAGAAAGGAAGAAATCACCCCAAGGGGGGATGGCCACACCACTATCCCTTCTCCTCCAGTCTGCTCTTGGGATTTTGGGCACACACACGTGCCTTGCACGAGTTTTAAGCGGCCAGGTCCAGGACTCAAGCCACAGTCAACTACGTGGGAGTCCAGCGACGTAGTCATTCATGTCTGCTGGCCCCAGAGATGGGCTCACACTCCCGCATACACTGTCCCCTGTGCAACCGTAATAGCCGTGCCCTGGGCTTGGCCATGCCACTGTCAGGGACTCCCAAGTCTCCAGCCGGGTGGTTCAACACAGGCACCTGGAGCACTTAGGGTCTGGCTCTGTGTGAGATGGGAAGCCCTGGAAGAGTGTCACACAGCAGTATGTCATGGCGACTCATGTTTCCGAAAGGGCCTCTCGTCTGTGGTGCCGGGGAAGAAACAGAGAACAGCCCTGGACAGGGAGACGACTCAGGAGGCTTCAAAGACAGGACACAATGAGAGGGGTAAGGAGAGATGCAAGTGTGGGGGTGATCTCTGACCCCTACACATCCCCACTGGCTAGCCATGTGCCCCATAGCAAAAACCAAACATACACACACACATACATGCGTATATATAAATATATGTATGTATATGCACTGAACATGTATGTATATATATATGTATATATATATGTATGTATATGCACTGAACATCGCCAAGTGATTGCTTTAGGCATCCAGCAGGTATACTACGGCCACCCGGAAACCACCCTTCTGTCACTGGCCAACTACATGACATACTAAAGCAACTCGTACATTCGCAGATTCTTTATGGCTTTCTTTAGTCTTTCCTTTCCTTTCCTTTTTTTTTTTCCTTGACAGTGTCTTGCTTTGTGGTCCAGGCCAACCTTGAGCTCATAATCCTCCAGACTCACCTCCTAGCTCTCTGGGATTACAGGTGCAGCACCACACCAGACTTTAGGTGGGACCAGAATCAAACCCAGGCCTCCCAGGGGGTCCCAGCTCAGAGGTGGAATCTTCACAGAGAGCAGCACAGGAGGCCTGCTGTTTCCTTTAAGAGCAACATCATTAGTTGGAAAAAAAAAGTTTAAAAACACAGGAATGACGATGGAAGAGTATTAAGGTACACCAAAGGACAGAAAATGACTTCCTTTTTCTATCAAGGATTTCCAGCAGATATTTGGTTATAATCCCTACTGACCAAGGCAGTGCTATCTGCCTTTCACAGCAAACAGCCCTGCTCCAGCCTGGGGAGTCGCTTCAACCCTCCGTGCCCTGCCTGGCATTTTCATTTGCATGAACATTCATGTGCCAATATAAGCAGAGCCCTGTCCTGGCTCACGCTCTTGGTAAGAGTTGGTCATTACCGTGTCTGTGTCCACAGTGTCTCACCTCTCTATTTTTTCCCCAGATTTCCTTTGCTACGCTCCTTGTTGATAATATTTCTATGGCAAGAAATTTTGTAGATATTTATTATGAGATAATGACTTTCTTCCCCTCCCACATTCTTCTTCCACTTTGTCTCTAGTGTCCTCCAGACTTGTTGATGAGGATTTGTATAGTATTCTCAACTGGACTGGTCTGAGGTGTATACCATGCTGGGTTAAGTCTCTCTATAATCTAAATGATGTATAGCAATTCACTGTCTAAATAATAATGATAATAAAGAAAAGAGTCATTATCATAAACCCTGTCATTGTTATTATTGTCACCTGTGCCCTACATTCTGGGTACGTTCTGGATCGAGGGCTCAGGCTGAATCAGAACGCCCGAGTGTGCGCCCCATGGACTCCGACAGTGCACCGTCCCGGGGCCTGTGCTCTGCATCATGGCAGGCACCTCACTGGGCAGACGGGAGGGTCCTAGGAGAGTCCTGAGTGCGGGCTGTCACTCACTCACCAGTTAGGTTGCTGCTCTTCTCCACCGCACATGGCTCTTCATGTGCTCCGTCTCACTGTCAGTCCGTAATTGCTCAAACCAATCAGAAAGATACAATAAATCACATGAGCTCCCTCATTGTATGATTATTGGATTTACTTCTGAATAACAGTTCGCTAATAATGTTTTTCTTATTTGTCTCCAGATACACTTCTGTAATTATCAGCTTAACAGAAATGTATAGCTTTAAATGTCTTTCTTAGCCAATTTTATTTTATACAAAAAGGGGGAAAGTTACCCAAAGTGTTGCAACACAGGAGAGAAATTCTTTGCCTAGGTGCACTTATTTGCAGCTATTTTATATTATTAGAAAGTGAACTGACTCATCACTTGATGACAGAGGCAACCGCAGAGCATTTTAAAAAATAATCCCATTGCGCCAAGATAAAAGGTACTGCTGAATGGTCATCACTAAGAGCCGGCCGCGAGCTCATTCATGAATGACCCCCACTCTGGTTCCTCTCAGTCATCAAATGTACCTCACTGCACAAAAGTAAATAGTGTTTTAAATTCATTCTGCTTTTTAAAAAACGTTCATTTGTTTATGTATTTATTTCTATGAGATATGTGCACACACAGAGGCAGGCCTCCCGAGGAACTACCACGCTGCAATCCCCCCCAGTCCCAGTGGCTCAGACCTCAGCACACAGGAGCCCACCAGGCTCAAGGAGGTCCTGGGATGCCTGCCCAGGACCTGTCCCAAGTGGCCCAGCTGCAATGCCCTTGCACTATCACCTGGCTCGTCTAAATTTCTTTACATTTTATTTTGAACTACTTTCCATACAACTACTTTGTTTTAAAAATATATTTATTGTAATGTATGATTTACATATAATTATTATACACCTTTGTAAGGTCCAAGTATAGTTTTTGAAAATATGCATATGGCGTGTAATAAACAAATTGAAGATATAAACATATTTACCACCTCTGAAATTTAACATCGTGTTATGTTGTAAATGTTCACAATTCACTCTATTGGTTATTTTGGAAGTATATATTGAATTGTCAGTGATGTCCTTTACTGTGAAACACAGCTCTAAAAAAAAAAAAAAAGTGGTTAAAAATCAGAAAACAAAGTCCCATAAATTAATAAGGATGGATTTTTGAAAAAGATCCTCTTAACATAGCCAGTGAAAGAAGAATTTGTGATTTCCATGTGAAGGACTGCAGGAGATAAGAGATTATATTATAATCTGAGAAGACCTGTGGTGCCAGTCATTGTTCCAGTAGAGAGAGGCAAAATGGTACGTAACAGTAGCTCTTTACGAAGAGAGTAAAAGAAAACTCTGACTGACTCACTAAGACCATAGTACTGTACTGTGCATAAAGATAGAAGTCATCACAAAGCAAAAACAAAACAAAATTAGAAAGAGATGTTTAAGAGCGAAGACCTGGTAAAATCAGTGATTTGGTGATTTATAAGCTTTATAAAGTTCTTGATTTTATCCTCCTTTAACTTCTTTTCCAGACAGACTCAGCTACTGTTATATCTATGTGGTGTTCTTTGTATTTCCTGTATTTGGATATCAATATGCCTCTGTAAATTTGAGATTTCTTTTTTGCTTTGTTTTTTGTTTGTTTGTTTTTTTGAGAGATCATTTTGCTACAGGGCATGTGCACTCCCCGGAGAGACAAGAGAAAGAAACTGAGAAATCATGCCCCCAGGGGAATGGGCATGCGGCAATCCCTTCTCCATTCTCCTCTTAGAATTTTGGACATACACACAAGTACCCAGCATGAGTTTCAAGCCACTGGGTCCTGGAACTGCGGTCCATCATATGAGAGTCCAATAACTTAACCACCACACCACCTGCTGGCCTCAAAAGATTTATCTATGCATTTACCTTTCTCTTTGCCTTCTGGAAGAACTACTATGCAGATATTCAGCCATTTAATGGCATCTAATATTTCTCATTTTTGTCCTGATTTTTAATGGCAATTCTTCTTTTTGGTTGTATGGACTAAATTAGAGATTTTGTCTTCAAGGTCAGAGATTCTTCTGCATGGTCTAATTTGCTGTTGATACTTCGAAGAGAGGTTTTGATTTTCTGCATATATTCTTCATCTACAGAAGTTCTATTTCAATTTTTTTTACAGAATGTCTATCTCTTCCTCTTTCAAGTCATGGAAGGATTTTCTCTTTACCTGGAATTGGTTATATATTTTCTCTTACATCTTATTGAGTTTTGTTATAATGAATATTCCAAATTCTTTTTCTGACATTCTGTGATCTCTTGTGTTTTATCCTTGTTGGTGAGGAGTTATGTTCATTTGTGAGGGAAGTATTTCCTGGTTTTCTCCTATTTCTTGGGACTTTGCTTAGATTTTCAGTCATCTGGTGACGTACTCACTTAGTACTTCTTTGGAGCAGGTTTCTGTAGCTGTGTGCTCATGCCGTCCCCTGAGGTCTGAATGAGCTCCATGCCCATGCCCCTCCTCTGCTATGGGTGAGAATGTGGGATCCACTGTGGGAGTTCTGGTTTTAGGTTTTCACAGGGGAGTTTCTCTCCTTTAGTTTTTGGGGGGGGCGGGGGGGCTCCTGGAGGGTCGTGGGGAGATAATTTCTCAAAAACCTGTCTTTGGGTGTTTTGCTACTGAGAGCCAAAGCCTCTCTGGTCCCAGTGTGGTTGGAGGTTGAGCTGGACAGGCAGGATCGAGGTGGTGGTCCAACTGCCACAGCGTGGCACAGTCCAGGGCGGCATCTCCTCCCCCACTGCAGGCTGGCTGGGTGCCTGCTGAAGAGCTGAGGCTGTGTGAGGGGCAGAAGAGTATCAGCCCAGGTGAGACAGCAGCTCCTACCTTCTGTCTCTGGGACTCTCAGTACTGGATGGTGGTCCTTGAAAGCCAGGGCGGTCCTTCCTCCCTCACTGCAGGCTGGCCAGGGATAATTGCCGATCAGTTCAGGCCTGGTGGCCTTTGCTTCCCTTTTGCTCTGTCTCTGGGACTACAGGGACCAGGTGGTGGTCCTTGAAGGCTAGAGCAGCCCCACCTCCCCCACTACAGGCTGGCTGGGGATCCCTGCTGCTGAGCTAAGACTGTCAGCCTTTGCTTCTCCATTACTCCTGGATGGGTGAGGGCAGAGGCATCAGCAAGGGGCTGAGGGCGGGGGAGCGGCTCGTACAATCTCTCTCTCCACACACATACTTTCAGAAAGGATCTCCTACTGGACCATCAGCCTAAGGAAGTGTGATATGCTTTCCACCCTTCACCCACACCCACCTCGGTCAATGCTAATGAAAATGTTTAACTTAATGTGCTGAATTGCAGGGGGCACCTTTAATACCACAGTCTCATTTGCAAAACTCACTTGGACTCAGGCAAAGATGTGATTCTACCATTTCATAACAGAAATAACACTGAAAATCCATGAGGCACTTAGTTCTTACACTTACTCTGTACTACATTTAAGCTAGGATTTATTTTATGTAGCTAGAAAAATAAGTTGAGTAAAATAACATTTGTAATCACTCGGAGATTGATTTGAATTTGGACTAAATTTAGAGATCTGTGTCACGGAATAAAATTGCCAAAATCTCTTTTACATTCAGTACCTCAGCAGCACCTCACTCAGGTCGACTCTCATCTTCCTAGAATTCCAGATGAATGAATAATCTAGCACCACACAGGTGACTCTCACCTAGGCACCCAAGCACACACAGAGTCAGAGTCTCTAGGCAGACTGAACCAGCAGAAATTTATTTGGAGAATGGGCAGCTGAGAAGTCCCACAACAAGCCATGTGCAAGCTGGAGGGTCTGGGAGACTGGCCATGTGGGTGAGGCCTGTCTCAGGGCCGGCCTCAGAGGAAGGGAAGCTGCTGACGGGCCTCGCAGTCCAAGGCTGAAAACCTGAGACCAAGAGGGCCACTCGTGTAAATCCTGGAGCCTGGCGGGGACAGCTCTTGAGTCCTCCTGCCCCAGGCTACCAAAGAGGCTGTCGCACTCTGTGCAAAGAAACCCTTTTAGTTGGTGTTTAGTCTCTCCGGGACCAGCGCTGATGTCTCATGCTCTTCTGCACTACGGGCAGATCTTCCACATCGAGTCACCTCAGACACCCACGTTACTTCCTTCTGGAATCACCGCATGGACAAACTCAGGGTAATGCCTTTTTTAGAAGTTCCTTAGTTCAGTCAAGGTAACACCCAAAACCAACCATCACAGAATAAATAGATGTAAGAACTTAGGGGAAACTATAGGAAATTTTCCCTCCCTTCAAGTTCATATTTAAAAATCCATGAAGTATAGTTGTCTCCATTTTTAAATTTAAAACTCAAATAATTATTTATAAATTATATACTAGCTAATTCTTAAAATTTTAACTCCTTGAGGTTTCATTTTTCATACAAAAATAAATTATGGTCACCAAAAATTAATTCTGCAATTAGTATTCCTTCATAGCTAAATACACTTTGAAAACTTAATATTTTCCAAAAGCTAGGAACACATATGTATTTTGCTTTTTTAGAAAATGAGCCAGTAGGTGGCATGGGAGTTAAGCCCTCTAGATCCACATGGCTGACTAGACAGTTTGAATCCCAGACCTAGTGGCTTGAAAAACACACCAGGTGCATGTGTGTGCATGTCCAGAATCCTGTGCAGAGAACAGAGAAGGGATTGCAGCATGGTCGTCCCCCCACCACCACCCAGGGAGTGATTTCACACACTCTCTCTCTCTCTCTCTTTCATCTCTCTCTCTGGTAAATGCACATGCCATATAGCAACAACAACAAAAAAATTTAAAGTGACATCTAATATCATAGGAATAAAAGATAAACTATAAATTTCCATCTGTGTACTGCACCCATCTTTAGAGATTTCTCCTCTCGGGTCAGTGGTCTCTGTGTTTGTATGCTGGTCCTGCTCTCAGCAGCCTTTGCAGTGCCCCTGTCACCTCCTTGTTTCTCAGGGTATAGATGAGAGGGTTCAACAAGGGCGTGATGACTGTGTAGAAGAAGGTGAAGCACTCTCCATGTCTCGAGGAAAAGTTGTTCTTTGGGTCTATGTGCACCATCGCCACAGTCCCATAAAACAGGAAGACCACCAGGAGGTGGGAGGAGCAGGTGGCAATGGCCTTCTGCCTCCCTTCCTCCGACCTGATTTTCCCCACAGCATGCGCTATGTAGCCGTAAGAAGTCAGGATCAAGCCCACAGGCACCACCGTGAAGAGGGCAGCGGAGATGGTCATCTGCCACTCACTGGCAGAGGTGTCACCACAGGCCAGGCGTATGAGGGAAGGCACCTCACATAGGAAGTCTTCCAGGTGGTGGTGTGGGCAGAAGGGCAGCTGGAATGTAACAAAAGTTTCTGTCAGAGACTCCACTATGCCAGACAGCCAGGCTGTGAGCACCAGCTTCCAACAGAGTGGACGGTGCATGACGATGGTGTAGCGCAACGGCTGGCAGACAGCAACGTAGCGGTCAAAGGCCATCACCACCAGCAACACACCTGCTGTGGCACCAAGACAAAGGGACACACAGAGCTGAACGGCACAGCCCACAAAGGTGATGCTCTTGTCTGGGCCCCACAAGTTGAACAACATCTGGGGCACTGCCGTCGTGGTGAAGCAGAGGTCCAAGAAGGAAAGATTGCTCAGAAAGAAGTACATGGGGGTGTGTAGATGGGGGTCCACACAAGAGAGCAAAATGATGGTCGAGTTGCTGAGGACGATCATGCTGTAGACGATGATCACAACCCAGAAGAGAACCATTTCTAGCTGGGGCCATTGGGAGAGGCCAAGGAAGATGAAGCCTACTGGGAAGCTCTCATTCGTCATTTCTGTTGTAGTTTCCTTGGGGTTGAGTGTAATGGTAAGATTTTTTTAAAACAGATTTTTTTAAAGAAAGTTTCTGCCATTTATTTAGAAAAAGCAAACATTATTAATTTTCTAGACGTTCTTCAGTGAAGACATATGTTTTCCCTTATATTAGGTCAACATCTCTATAGGCTTTGTTGGTTACATGGAAGTACTATTTGTAAAATACTACCCCTTGGAAATCATCTCTTAAATCTATTGGGACATCATGGCCTATTTTTCTGTATTTCTCTGCAAAAATGTGTCATGACTTTTCCAATGACCTAGTACAATGCAACATCCCCAGTGGACACCTTTCACACCACTTGAGATCATTTACATATCCCTTCCAGATCTCTCATTCAGCCATGTGTTCAGTAGCTGTCTAAAAAGTTTGGACTAAAGTGTGAAACAAAATCTTTTATTATTTCACTTATTTGTATTTTTCTGTCAAAGTGGAAAAGTATTATTTTGTCTCGTTTGGTGATGTTAATAGGAAGACCACCCCCCAAACAAGGACTTTCTGTTCTCACTTTGGATTCTAAAGAATGAGATTCTGAATGCAGTATCATTCTGAGTTATCTGAATAAGTACTTTGGCATAGGAGACACGTCAGTTTTTGAATGAGGCAAATCTAGGTTAGATAACTGGTTCATTCACCTTCACTTTAAGTAAAGGAACTTAAAGTACCGAAGTACCCTGAATAAATAGCCTTAAAATTCTTCATTAATATTCTTTCTCAGGGAAATGGTTCTAAGAACTCCTGCTTCAGAAGATTCTGGTCTGACTTAAAAGTGAACAGTATAACAGCTCCCTCGAATTTCCATTGCCATTATCCTCTGTAGCCATTGGGGGTAATAAATAAATTTCAATCAGAACCATAATTTGAAATAGAAATGAATTTAAGTGCCTTCCAGACCCTAACACCTAGAAAGAATCCATCTACATCTGAGGTGGGTCTTGCTCCTTTCAGGGACTAAGGTAACTGAAGATCCTCTGCTCCAAACCTCTCCTTTCAGACCCAAACACCTAGACAGGTAGGGCAGGCTCTGTATCTCTCTGTCTCTTTAAATTCTATTTTATAATGTTTAAGTGTTGTCTCTTGCTTCTGACCTCTCCTTTATCTTCCTAATTTCAGAAGCCATCTACACCTAAGGTATGTCTTGCCACACACTGTCTAGACAGGTCTAGGTGCATAGCCATCAAAAATCTCAATACTTTTAGGGTCATAGAAATCCTCAACACCCACTGAACCTGGTTTACAAAGGGAGAAACTTCTCTTCATAAATCTTAACTCAAATCTCTGTGGATACCACATTGTAAAACACAGTAGAAGAGAATAATTGACACAGAAGTACCTCACAGTAAGAGGAAGCACACAAGCTTACGGTTGCAGAAACCTTCTCCAACAAATTACTCAAAAGTCAATACACCACCAAATGACTAAAAATCAGAGAAGAGAGACTTGCAAAGTGAGCAACAGGGAGAAATATTTAGAGACAGCATGACTCATAAACTCCCACATACCTCTGAACTCCCAGTTGAAACCCTGCAGTTCAGCTCAGGTATACCTGTTCTCTAGAAACTGGGAGGCCTTTGTAATATCCAGTTCTAATGACCAATGTGCAGGTTGCTTAGTGAGCACCAGGGAAATGGAACTGCAGAGAGATTGTGGGTTATCTCCTTCCACAAATAAAAAGAACTCCAAGAAATTAGGAAGAAATGTATAATCCAACATATAACCAGAAAACACCACAGAGGCACAAGAAATATGAGAAACCAAGAAAATATCTTTCCCCCAAGGGAAAAGAACAACCCTTTATCATCCACAGACAGCACAATGGAACTCATGGAAACGTCAGAAAAAGAATTCAGAATTTTTATAGTGGCAAAACTAATTGAGATGCAATGAAAGAGAAAAGAGAGACAACAAACTCCAGAAGATGCAAGAGAAAAGAAGCAATGAGTTCTAGGAGATGAGGAAGTTCTTCCATTATTTAAAAGAAATACATAGCATAAAAAAGAATCAAACAGAGCTGTTAGAAATGAAGGATGTAATACAAGAAATCAAAATCTTCCCTAAAGGTATTAAAAGCAGATTAGACCATGCAGAAGGGCAAATCTCAAATATAGAAGACAAAACCTCTGACCCAATAAAAATCACCAAAAAGACTGAGAAAATAACCCACAAAAATGAGAATATATGAGAAATGCTAGATACCATTAAACACCCAAACATCAGATAATTGATATCCCAGAAGGTGAAGAAACTAATAACGGCATTGATCATCTATTCCATGAAATCCTGGAAGAAAACTTTCCAAACATAGAGAGGCATTCAAACATCCAGATCCAAGAAATACAAAGGATCTCAAATAGAATCAATCCAAGAAGATCTTCTTCAAGGCACATCATAGCCAGATTAGCCAAAACCACAGACAAAGACAAGATACTGAAATTGGCAAGAGAGAAACATCAAGTTACTTACAAAAGTTATCCCATCAGGCTAACGTCAGACCTCTCATCAGAAACAATGCAAGCAGGAAAGAATGGAAAAATATATTCAAAGGGTTAAATGAAAAACAATTTCAACCAAAAATACTATACCCACCAAGATTATCCTTCATATGGGAAGAAAGGATAAAAACATCCTCAGATAAACAAAACCTGAAAGAATTTACTAACACCAGACAAGCTCTTCAAGAAGTTCTGAAGGGAGTGCTATGTCAGAAAAACTAAAGACAGATGGACAGAAATAAGAGAGCAAAAAACAACCAAGAAAATGACCAACTTAATGGTATGAACAAATCCGGAAATATCGATAATAATGTTGAATGTTAATTTCCAGAATTTAAATGGAAAGATTGGACCACAGTAACACTCCAAATTCAACGAAGATAAGTTAAATACATGAGACTGAACTAGCAAAATAGAATTTTATGACTTTTGACTAAAATATTAATGGTTTTCTTCAATGCTTTGTCTTCCAGATTTAAGAATTTTTGTTTTCTTTTGAGCTGTTGATAGATTCAGCAATTTGTTAATTTTTTTCTTTTTCTTTTTTGTTGAAATTGAAACATAAACTTTTCTCCCTTCCTGATACCTCTGGAATTGGAAAATAATTATGAGCATTCTTATTTTGTGGCAGAATTATTATTTGCATAAGTTCCATAATAGCCAACCAAATCAATGAATATTTCTACTGGGCTTTGTGCAAATAACATACCAAATTGGGACTAAACATTTTTTTTGTATATAAGTTAGTTTATGCCTCTCTTTAGTAAAAGGAGGAATGGAGAGAGAAAAAAGTGTTTCAGAAAAAATTATAGTGCACCTGTTACTAGATTTTAGCTTTGTCCATATCTATTTTTTGAGTTTTTTATATCTACCCACTATCTGAACCAAATCCTAAACTTTTTCCTGGCTTTAAGTCTTAAGCAAATTTTTCATAACTTTTTTTATTTTGATTTACTAAAGCTAAAATTACTTTTCTTGAAATTAAAAAAATAAATACATAAAAACAAACAATAAATAAATACAGTAACTATATGACCTCGGCTAGGTGTTACTTTATATTATGTTAGTTCTATTCACTGAGTTTTATGCCTAAAGTCAGACATGTGTTCATAGATACATTTATATCAACTGTACTTACTATTGAAAGTATTTAATTAAGATCTTTGTGAATCATTAAAATGTGGGGGGAAAAGAAAAAAAAACATGGAAAGCAACTGTGGATACCAGAAACAGTGTGGGAGGAGGGTAGGACATGGCAGAGAAGAGGGGAATCAAGCAGGAAAAATAGAAGTAAAATATGTAAGAAATAGGCCAGCAGGTGGCATGGTGGTTAAAAGCACTGGACTCCCACATGGCTGACCATAGTTTGAGTCCTGGGCCTGGCGACATGCTTTCTCACTTTCTCTCTCTTTCTTCCTCTCACTCTGTCTCTCTCTGGTCAAATTTAAATAAATAAATAAATAAATAAATAAATACAGTTAAATAAAATAATTCTTTAAATATATATAAGAAACAAGAAATGGAAAACTATTTGTTGAAGGTAACATGTATGGCAATATCTTTGAGCCAACATACAGTGTGTTCTGGATGAGAAAACTCATTTTGTATGCTGCAATAATATGCAGCGAGTGAACGTAAAATACATAAGGTTTTTAAAAAAGAAATGATTTTAAGTGACAAAAATATTTTAAAAGTGATCATTTTTAAGCTTTGTTGTACGGGTAGAGGCAAAAGACTGCACGGAGGCACTCCTTGGGTGGTGATAACCTGGGGCACTGGGTGTGGGAACACTGTCCCTGGGCAGGAACTGTGTCTTCCAGAAACCCTGGACTACCTCAGAGGCTACATCAAGGACATAGAGGCAGGGACCAGGCTAAGTGCTGCAGGTGAGAGAAACCTGAAGTGTCAGTCATAAAAATCAGACTTTGAAAATGGACCAACAATGCAAAATTCTGGCAATGTTAAAGGAAACTGCTTGTAGCCAAGGGCAGCCTCCCCCGCAGGCCTCGGTGCTGTCGCGCACTACGTGATGTGGAAACTGCGAAGAAAAGAGAAAATCTGCTTTTACAGAGCTCTTCGGCCTGTGGGGGAGAGAGCAACTGAAGAAATGAGCGACCCACCACGAAGATTCCGCTGTGTCAGATGACTTCTACAAACACCACGGAACCATGCGATTGAAGGTAAAACCGGAGGACGCAAGAACCGGAGGAACAGGACCCCGCGCAGGGGCAACAGGACAGAAAGCTCGCGCTGAGCAGGTGCTCACGGCTGGCCACCTGGCCGTGCATGCGCTGACCTCCGCGACCCTCCGCAAGGTGCCCCAGAGGAAGGGCAGAAGGTGCGCACGGTCTCGGACCCAGGGCTACCCCAGGTCTCCCGGTTTCCGCCACGTTTTGCGTATTTCCAGTACTCACCTTCTGCGCTCAGAATCCCATCCTGCTAAACTGCGGCACTTGGGCAAGGAC